GGAGGAGGAGGAGGAGGAGGAGGAGGAGGAGGAGGCGGAGGCGGAGGAGGAGGCGGAGGAGGAGGAGGAGGAGGAGGAGGAGGAGGCGGAGGAGGAGCAGGAGGAGGCGGAGGCGGAGGAAGAGGACGAGGAGGAGGAGGAGGAGGAGGAGGAGGAGGAAGCAGAAGACGAACACTACGAAGAAGAAGAACACGAGTAATAACCATACTAATGCTACTGTTTAATAATAATGTTTAATACTAACAATAATAATATTTTTTTAATGTTAACAAGAATAAGACGAAGACGAAAACGAATACTAGTAAGAAGACGACTAATACTATTAATACGAATAAGAATAAGAAGACTAGTCATAAGACTAATACTATGAATACTGAGAATACGAAGAATATTACGAACCATAAGACTAATAAGAAACATAACACGAATACGAAGACGAATACTAATAACAAGAAGAAGAGGACGAATCCGAATAGTACTCCGAATACTAATACTACTAATAACCATAACACCACTAAGAACAATAATAGTACTACTACCAATAATACTACTAATAGTGGTAATACGAATAATAATAGTATTAATAATAATAACAATAATGCTAATACTACTAATATCAGTAATAATATTACTAGTAGCAGTAATACTACTAATTATAATACCAATAACAATAATATTATTAATACTAATAACACTGATCATAACACTAATACTACTAATACTAAGGACACTAATAATACTATTAAGAAGCAGAATGCGAAGAACAATACGAGCACTACGAATAAGACGAATACTAATACTAAGAAGACGAAGAATAATACTTGGAACACTGAGAAGAATAAAACTAATACGAAGAAGAATAATAATAATGATAATACTAATACTAATAATACTACGAATACGAATAATAATAATACTAGTAATACTAATAATACTAATAATACTAATACTAATACTAATAATAATACTACTACTAATAATAATAATCAGAATCATACTACTATTACTAATAATACTAATAATAAGAATAAGCAGACGAAGAAGAATAATAATACGACGACGAATAATACTACTAAGAATCATAGGAAAACTAATAACACTAAGAAGAATGCTAATACTAATAATAAGAAGAAGACGAATACGAAGAAGGAAAAAACGAAGAGGAGGAGGAGGAGGAGGAGGAGGAGGAGGGAGGAGGGAGGAGGGAGGAGGGAGGAGGAGGGAGGAGGGAGAGGGAGGAGGGAGGAGGGCGGAGGGCGGAGGGCGGGGGGCGGAGGGCGGAGGGCGGAGGGGTGGTGGGAGGAGGGAGGAGGGAGGTGGGGAGGAGGGAGGGAGGGGGAGGAGGGAGGAGGGAGGAGGAGGAGGAGGGAGGAGGGAGGAGGGAGGAGGGAGGAGGAGGAGGGGGAGGGAGGGAGGAGGGAGGAGGGAGGAGGGAGGAGGGAGGAGGGAGGAGGGAGGAGGGAGGATGGAGTAGGAGGAGGGAGGAGGGAGGTGGGAGGAGGGAGGAGGGAGGAGGGAGGAGGGAGAAGGGACGGGGGAGGGGGGGGGAGGGGGAGGAGGAGGAGGAGGAGGAGGAGGAGGAGGAGGGAGGAGGAGGGAGGGGGGAGGAGGAGGAGGAAGGAAGAGGTGGAGGAGGAGGAGGAGGAGGGAAGAAAATAATATTAACACGAAGAAGAAAAAGAGGAGGAGGCGGAGGCGGAGGAGGAGGAGGAGGAGGAGGAGGATGAGGAGGAGGAGGAGGAGGAGGAGGAGGGGGAGGGGGAGGGGGAGGGAGGGGAGGGGAGGGGAGGGAGGAGGAGGAGGAGGAGGACCCGTGTAAACCCAAGAGTCATCCCCGATGTTGGAGTAAGTCTTCCCTCCAAGCTCCCTTTTCATGGGCCCCATACGAGGGTTCACTTCCACTGAAGGAACTGCCTCGTTGGAAGACAACCGCTCGAAGAGCCTGGTGCACGCCAAAATATCGTTCTCGGGATTCCAACGCCACGGGTCAACCTGAGTGTTGCGCCTTGACGATTCAGAATCGTGCCATAACGCCACTCTTGGGATTCCAACACCGCGAACCAACGTAACTGTCGCGCCCTCATAATCCTGAATCCTTCCCAAACATCTCTGGTGCGCTGATCATGGGAATCCGTGAAGCTCTTGTTGCAAATTATGAAAACGAATGTACGCGCCACTTAAGCGAGAGCCACGGGTGCAGGCCTTCATCGAGGCATGGGTGCAGGCCTTCATCGAGGCGGCGGCTCGCGATTCTCCGCTTGCTAACATCGTGAACACGCTCTGGAGCAATTGATCCTGTCCTACACACCACCACCTGCATGTGTTCATGTTCGACTTTTTCTTCTGCGCGACGGTCGTCTTCTGATCCTCCTGCTTCTCCTCCCTCCTGCGCGGTTTCACATCGCCCTCCCGCGGGGGACCCTGGCGGGATTGTGTTTGCCAGCGACTCTGCACTCGTGCACGTTTCAGCACCCCCCTCGCTGCTCTCTGCGCTGCTGTCGTTCCCTCGTCGTTCTCGCCCCTGCTCTCCTCTCCTCCCCTGCTCCGTGGCCTCCCTCTCTTGGTCTCCCCCCCGCCTCCGCGGGCCGTCCTTCTCCGTCGTCGTCGTCGTCGTCGTCGTCGTCGTGCGGGGGGCCCCCGTGGGGCTCCCGTGGGGCTCGCGTGGGGCTCCCGTGGGGCTCCTGTGGGGCTCCCGTGGGGCTCCTGTGGGGCTCCCGTGGGGCTCCCGTGGGGCTCGCGTCCTCGTCGTCGTCGTTCTCTCTCCTCCTCGGGGGTGCTGGAGTCAAAAACGCGTAGCCCACGGTGGTCCCAAGCGTTGCGTTTGAACGCAGGGACGTGCTTGCCAATACTGTTCGTACTCAGCAGGTTGTGCCTGGCAGCCCTCCAGCGCGCCACGGCATTGTGGCTCCGCTTCCTCTGGGATGTTAGTGTGGTATTTCCCGGCTTTAGTCATTGTGCCTGTCGTTTCGATTGTTTCCTCGTGCTGCCCGCGCGGCCCCGGTACGTTTTGAGGGTAATTCGTATCGCTTTACCCGTCCAGATTTCCGCCCTGCTGAACTTCGCTCGTGCCCGAGCTTGGGACCATTGCCCGATTTTGGGGCATGGAAGGTGATCCTCGACTCGTGCGCCTCGTTTCTCCTCCTCCTCCTCCTTCCTCTTCTTTTCTCCTCTTTCCCCTTCGCTGCTTCTCCTGCCTCCTTGCTGCGGCCCGTTGTTGGCTCTGTCCTCATCTGAGTCTCGGGTGACCCTGTAGGGTGATCCACAGGTGTCGCCGCAGCCCTTCTTTAATTTGATAGCTGCCGCCTCTCCGTGCTGGACGTTTGAAAAGCTGCGCGCCACGAGTATCGCAGTCAGCATGGCACCAGAAGGAAACCCGAATACCCACTTTCAATAGGCAGAGCAGAGATCGGCAGGTATCCGCTGGCGCCACAAACAAAAACTTAAGCGAGAGCCACATTTTGGAAAGGAACCGACCTCAATCCGTGAAGCTCCTTGCACATGTTTAAAGCGAATGTGCGCGGCGCTAAGACGAGAGCTACATTTTGAAGCCACCCGCCCTCAATCCGTGAAGCTCTTGCAAATGTTGAAAACGAATGTGCGCGGCGCCAAGGCGAGAGCCACATGTTGAAAACCATCCGCCCTCAATCCGTGAAGCTGTTGCAAACTATTAAGCGTCAGGGTCATACATGGTGGAGAAGTCTCAGACGAAACGCCGGGACCGCTTCATACATTGGCTTCGGGGTGCGACAGGGATAGTTTTATTTGTATGGAAGAAGAAGAGGAAGAGGAGGAGGAGGAGGAGGAGGAACAGGAGGAGGAGGGGGAGGAGGAGGAGGAGGAGGAGGAGGAGGAGGAGGAGGAAAGAGGAGGAGGAGGAGGGGGAGGAGGAGCAGGAGGAGCAGGAGGAGCAGGAGGAGAGGGGGCGCCTCGCCTCGCCTCGCCTCGCCTCGCGCCCGCCGGCCTGCTACTCTTCTACGTACCCAACCCCTCCCTGGCTCGAGAGGCATCGCGTTGTCGAGGGCGGCCGGTAGTAGCAGCAGAGGCGGAGCAGCAGCGTCCCACGACCGGGGCGCCCTTTTGTAGCAGGGATGGGCCACGGAGGCGTGCCCGCGCCGCGCCGCGCGCTGCGCGCGCGCGCGCTCACCAGACCCCTGGCGTCTCGGATTCAAACTGCGCCCGAGGGTTCTTTCCATTTTTGGCCTTCGGGGGGGGGGTCGTTTCAGAGCGCCGTTGCCGCTGGAAGAGGACCCAGGAGTGGAGGCCAGTCTCTGGGGGAGGGGTCGAGAGCTTCAGAGGCCTTCGGCTCGAACGACAAGTCGAATGGCCCGAGGTTTTGGTAGCGCCCTGCGCACGGTGGGCCCGCCCCTCGAAGTCTGGGTTGCCGCGCCTCGCGCTCCGCGGCGTGGGATGGAGAGCTGCTTTTCTCCAGAGGGGGGGAGCGGCGCCAGAGAGCGCACAGGTGATCCGGGTCGCCTAGACTGTGTCACGGAGAATCGCTCCGCATCTCCCGGCGTGATCAGAGCGTTTGGCGCTTCCCCGATGTGTTGGAGGACGGAAGGACAGAGATAAGGATTCATGATGCGTGTGCCGATAGTGATACATGAGGAGAGTGAGGGTGAGGGTGAGGATGAGGATGAGGGTGAGGATGAGGATGCTGACGATGACGATGGCGATGATGATACGTATGAGGATGACGATGATGATATTGATGATGATGATGATGATGATGATGATGATGATGATGATGGTGATGGTGATGGTGATGGTAATGGTGATGATGTTGATGATGGTGATGATGATAAGGATGATGACGGTGCTGCTGCTGATGGTGATGATGATGATGATGATGATGATGATGACGATGCTGCTGCTGTTGATGTGGATGATTATGATGATAATGACGTGCTGTTGATGCTGACGATGATGAGGTTGCTGCGATTGCTGCTGCTGCTGATGCTGATGATGATGTTTATGATGGTGATGGTGTTGCTGATGCTGCTGCTGCCGATGATGGTGATGACGACGATGCTGCTGCTGATGACGACGATGGCGACGACGACGACGTCGACGATGATGATGATGCTGATGATGATGATGATGATGATGATGATGATGATGGTGGGGGTGATAACAACGACGGTGATGATGCTGCTGATGATGATAATGCTGATGATGACGCCGATGATGATGATGATGATGACGACGATACTGATTATGATTATGATAATGCTGACAATAATGCAGATGATGATGATGATGGTGATGAAGATGATGATGATGATGCTGCTGCTGATGATGATGATGCAGATGATGATGCTGATGATGCTGATTATGATTATGATGCTTATGCTGCTGATGATGATGGTTGTGGTTATGGTGATGATGATGATGTTGGTGACTGATTCCGTTGGTGATGCTGCCGATGCTGATTCTGTTCATGATGATGTCGCCGTTGTTGATGCTGCTGATCCTGCTGCCGATGCTAATATGCTGATGATGACGATTCTGATGATGATGCTAATTGTGGTGGTGGTGGTGGTGGTGGTGATGGTAGAGATGATGGTGAGGATGGTGATGATGTTAATGATGATGCTTCTGCTGCTGATGCTGATGCTGATGATGATGGTGATGGTGATGGTGGTGGTGATGGTGATGGTGATGGTGATGGTGATGGTGATGGTGTTGTTGATGATGATGATGCTGCTGCTGCTGATGATGACGACGTCAGAGAGGATGGACGTGATGGTGAGGGGTGAGGAGGAGGAGGAGGTTGAGATGGGACGGCAAGGAGGATCAGGATAGACATGGGACGGCAAGGAGGATCAGGATAGTCGATAGCGACGATGATGATTATGATGATTAGGGTTGAGACGTACTAATCGCTTCGCACATTCCTCCGGCTAATGTTGCGGACCGGGGCCGACTGGCCGAGTGGTCGTCGGCAGTGCGGGGCTGCAGGGGGCGGCGGCTATTTTTCAGAGGCGTTGCGTTCGGCATGTTGGGGTTGAGGCAGCTCTCGTGGAGCAGCTTCGTGTCGATTCGTTTGGACCTTCTTGGGAGTTGTTGGGGGAATCATTGTTTTCCACGGGGCTTCTAGGTTGTGCCGCCTTGGGGGGCCTCTGGCGCCTTCGTGGGGGTGTGATGCCCGTGGATGCTCCTGCAGGGGGCATACGACGCGTTAGGAGGAGACATTCTTATGCGATGTTGGAACCCTCGTGTCGGAGGGTGGCAGGCGTTGAATGCGAACATTGGCTCTTTTCTTGTCCTGATGTCCTCTGTCGTTGCGGACATCGGCGCGAAGGAACACTTTCTTGTTTCTCTCCTCCTCCTGATTGTATCCCTCCTTCCGCACTGTGTTCCCGTGTGTATGTGTGTGTGTGGCCAGTCTGCCCTGATTGTTCGGACCATCCAGAGGGAGAAATATGGGGGGGGTGGGTGAAGGGCAGCGAAGGAAAGAGGAGGAGGAGGAGGAGGAGGAGGAGGAGGAGGAGGAGGAGGAGGAGGAGGAGGGGGAAGGAGGAGGTGAAGGAGGAGGAGGAGGAGGAGGAGGAGGAGGAGGAGCATGAGAGCGAGGACGAGGACGAGGTGGAGCCCATGCAGAGCCCCCCCATCATTGCCGACGTCCGACGCCGTGGTCTTTTTAAATGCGAGGGGCCCCTGGACCTCTCGACCTCTTCGGGGGCTGGTCTTCCGTCCCGCGTCTCGTTTTGTGATGAGCCTACATTGTATCTCTTGGCGGTATTTCTGGGACCTCCTGGGGCCGCCTCGCCGGGGCCTTTTGAGGGCCTCCTGGGGGTATCTTGGGGGCCTCTTGGGGGTCTCTTGTGGCCTCTCAGGGCCTGCAGCTCGAAATGTCTGGTTGGGTCCCCCGTCTGGGCCCGCTCTTGGAGCCGTCTTGGGGGCCTGTTGGGCCATTTTGGATGCCTCTGGGTCTGTCTTGGAGCCCTCTGGGGTTGTTTTGGGGCGCTCTTAGAGGCCCTCTGGGCCGTGCTGGGGCGATCGTGGGAGCATCTTGGGGACTTCTTGGGCCGTCTTGGTGCGCCGGGAAGCTGAAAAGACGAGAAGGCCCAAGGTGTCTTGGGGCGTCTTAAAGTCGTCTTGGGCCGCCTGGAGGCCACCTTGGGCGTCTTGGGCCGGTCGTTCGGTGACTCGGAGCCCTCTTGGACCGTTTTGGGGGCCTCTGGGGGCCCTCGTGGAGCGTTCCCGGAACGCTCTGGGGGAGTCTGCCGGGCTGCAGCCAGGCTGCTCCCGCTGTACTTTCGGTCCAGGGACTCCCAGGGGCGCCCCGCGCGTGCGAACCAGAAACATTGTTGTTAGCCAGTTGCCGGAGATCTTAGCATGCCTCTGGCCCGTTGGGCCGGCGAATGATGTTGATGCTGATGCTGATGATGCTGACGCTGCTGTTACTGGTGATCGGTGATGACATCGGAGAGAGCGTGATCCACCGCCGCTTTACTGTGGAAAATTGCCAACCTTTTCCTCCGGAACCCGGGGGTCGCCCCCCCCCCCTCCGAAAATCCCCCCCCCCCCCCTGCTGGGACCCCCCCCCCCTCCCCGGCAAAACCCCCCCCCTCCCCTAACCCCTCCCCCCCCCCCCCCCTCGAAAACGGGGGGGGGGTCACTACCGGTTCGAACCCCCCCCCCCCCCCCCCCCCCCTCCAGATCTGGAAAACCGGGGGGGTCACTACCGGTTCGAACCCCCCCCCCTCGAAAAACGGAGGGGGGTCACTACCGGTTCGACCCCCCCCACACGCACCGCCAGCAAACGATTCCCGGTCCCTACCACCGTCCGCATCACATCCCCCACTGTTGTTCCCAGCACCACTGTCCTCACCACCACTGTCCCCACTGGTTCCACCACCGTCCCTACTGTCCCCACCAGTGCCCCCACCACTGTCGCACTGTCCCCACTGTCCCCACCACTGTTCCCACCACGGTTCCACTCTCCCCACTGTCTCCACGGCCCCAACCACTGCCCGACTATCCCCACTGTCCCCACTGTCCCACTGACTCCTCCGCTGTCCCACTGAGCTGTCCCACTGTTCCCACCACTGTCCCCACTGTCCCCACCACTGTCCCCACTGTACCTCTGTCCCATTGTCCCACCGCCGTCCTCGCCACCGCCTTCACCACTGTCCCCACCACCATTGTACCCTCCACTGTCCCACTGTTTCCACCTCATTCCCATTGTCCCCACACCACTGTCCCCACCACCACCGTCACCACCACTGTCCACTGTCCCCCCTGTTCCCACCATTGTCCCCACCACTGTCCCCACCACTACCGTCCCCACCACTGTCCCACTGTCCCACTGTCCCCACCACTGTCCCGCTGTCCCCTCACCACTGTCCCCACCAACACCGTCCCCACCACTGTCCGCACCCCCACTCGGTTTTCGAGGGGGGGGGGGGTTCGAACCGGTAGTGACCCCCCCGGTTTTCGAGGGGGGGGGGGGTTCGAACCGGTAGTGACCCCCCCCCTTTTCATGATGAACTGGGGGGGGGGGAGGGGTTCGAACCGGTAGTGACCCCCCCCGGTTTTCCGGAGGGGGGGGGGGGAGGGGTTCGAACCGGTAGTGACCCCCCCCGGTTTTCCGCCAGCAGCGGTAGAACACGCTCTTTCTGACATCGAGGATGAGGAGGAGGTGGAGGAGGAGGAGGAGGAAGAGGAGGATGGTGATGATGATGATGAGGAGGAGGAGGAAATGCAGGAGGAGTGGGAACGCGACGGGCAAGGCAACAATGTCATCCCGAATGTGCACTTCCGCAAGGTCAACGGCATGATGGGCCCTGGCCGGTGGAACCGCCACATGATGAAGACGTGGTTGGACCAGGCGAGACGGAGTATGAGTAGGGGGAAACGGAGTAGGAGAAGGAAGATGTGGTGGGTACGTTCTTCGGTGCAACGGTTGAGCAGCATCGGCATGCTTTCATCAGCGATCGGCTTGCCGATGGGCCTCTGTCACCGAGCGCGTTCCATTATTCGCAAAGTGCCTACTCGCAAACGTCCGAAAAACACATGCTTTGATGTAATTCATCGTAGATCCCCCGCGGGGGATCCAGGCCATTTGCGAGTAGTTACTTTGCGAGTAGTGGAACGCGCTTGTCTACTTTGGGTGGCTGGCGGGGGTGTGGTGAGCTTGGGTTCCTCCCGCTCCTCTTTCGACATACCCCTGCTTTCGGCCGGATACCCTCTTTTCATTTCGGTGCCGCAGGCCTCATAATATCGTACCAGTTTGTGTATCGTGTACGAGGACCGTAGGGGCATGGGGAAGGAGGAGGCGATCGTTCTTGTCGATCGGCTCGCCGACTGACCTCTTGTCGCTTTGGTGGCCCCTGTGATGCGGGGTTTTCCCCGCTCCGCTTCGGGCCTGATCCTGCGTGCGTTTGGTCGGATCCTCTGAATTGATTGTTCTCTCAGAATTTCGTGCTTGTTCGTGTGCTGTGTGTATATTTTACCAGCCGCCCGACGAGTTCAAAGGTTGCCTTCGATCGAACTTCCAACCGCACATCAGGCCGTACAAGAACGCGATCCAATCAGAGACGACCGGGCTCTACAAGTTCATCACTGTCCTCCCGAATACCGAGTTTGATGCCAGGGGTGGAGCAGCCAGGCCTCCCCGACACACAGAATGCAGATGTGAGCGTAACTTGCTGAGATCCGGAGGGCCGAGCCGAAGGATGCTGCGGCGGCAGAGCGGTTTGTGCCTGCCACTGGGCGGATGCAGGCGTGCAGGGCGCAGGGGTGGACCGACGAACGCATCTGCGCGGCGGCTACGCAGGCGGCCAGTGCTGGATGGAGCCTCGTTCCACCCATGGGATCGGAGTGGAGCCTCACCAGCCGGGTCATCCCGCCAGACGCGGGCGGCCATATACATATCCCGACGACAGATCCGGCCCCCGCATGGAGGGAAGTCATGGCGCGATAAAGTTGGCGCTGTTATGTGTGTTCGCGGGAACGAATAATTGCCGTTTAACGGCTGCTAGTCCATCGCCTCACCACTACCCTGTTGGTGGATTCCGCTTTCGCCGAGAGGTGGCCAGTATGGTCGAGTACTTTTGGCGAGAAGGCGGCCATCCATCGATGGTGCCGGAGGTAACAACTGGCCCCACGCCGATGGATTGCAAAAGACGTATGGGATCTAGTGCGGGGGAACGAGGCGGAAATGGCATGCTCTGCCGTCCAAGACTTTGCTACTGATCGTTGGCGGTAATGCGGGCACCAACTGTTTGGTGGCTTGCAACTATGGAGGAAGAGGAGGGCTGCACGGACCCGAGTCTGTACACGTTTTTTGTCTTTGTCGCCCTTGTGAGCCGCTTGCTCACGCGCATTCATACGCGAGGCCTTTCCAAGTTCCACATGATATCTGAGGATATCGATTCTATGCGGCCAGAGTGCCGCGACATGACTAGGAAGCGTTTCGGGGACATTCTTGATACCTTTATGCAGGCCGTAGATTCCAAAGCCTGGTGCAGCATGGAACGTGCGCGGTTATGATGCGTTCTTTCCCAGCGCCAGGTAGGGAAATGTCCCTGTATTACGGCGCAGAGGGTCACCATGGGACTTGCTTGCGATTGGCAAAACCGCCCCATTGACGGTCCAGGGCCAGAAGGCTTGGCAATGGGGCGGAGGCTATTCGGGTCATCCACTACCAGGCTCGTCCTGAGTACCTATTGTACCACTCGGACCACGAGTGCCGATGGGACGTTCCGACCCTGGGACAGGTCATGGAGAAAGTTATGGAGCTTCTCTCCGCCAGTTTAACATCCAGCACTACCCAATGCCAGGGCGTTGTTTAAGCATATCTGCGCTTGCGCGCATCGACGCCCAGACCATGGGCCCGACTGCGACCAATTCGTCGACTGGCTCCACGAGCAAGGCATGGCGCGCGGAATCCGTGCACCCAGCGCCGTGGCACGGGCTACTGCCATTGGTGTCGCAGATTATGCACGGGCTTCAGGACTACATGGACGTGGCCAGTATGACAGTATTGGATTGTGCTTCGGCCCGGATGCCTTCTAGGTGCGTGCCCGCGCTTTCCTGCGAACGTGGGGGTCCCTTCCAGAGAGCGAGCGACACGCGATGGCACCGCGTCCCATTGCGATGCAGACGTACCATTTTTTCAGTGGGCGGCGCTGCCAGTCTGCTAGAAGCAGCTCGGCGGGGGGCGACTAAGTTTCCACAGTATCTCCGACGAAGGCGGTCGGGCCCTGGATTTCACCCGCACATTCGGGGCGAAAACGCAGGCATGACAGCTGACGCAGACGGCGAACGCAGGCCATTGGAAAGGGTGCGCGCTTCACATCTCTAGGCGCTCTGGGACCCAGCGCCTTCGGGAAGCGTTGGGCTCCTCCTTCCGGGGGTGGGATTGTCCCGGTTCGGCGCTGTTCCGTGTGGACTGCCGCCAGCGGGCCGTTCAATTTTCCGTTTCGCATTTTCCCAGTATTCGATCTCCCGCTATTGCATGGCGCCTCTTTCATTCCTCTTGTTTTTCCCCCTGCGCAACCCGGGCGATGTGCTGCGGCGAACGCGCTGGATGACCTCGTCAATTCTGAGGATTCATGCGCGACGCCCGCGCCCGCCAATGTTTCCTTGGAATTTACGATGCTTCGAAAGCACGAGAAATATCACCAATCATGAGGAACGGAATATGGTTTACAAAGCTTCTGCTCGCTGGAGGGCAGTTTTTCTTCGAGGAACAGGTTGGACGGGGCCCGACGGAAAGGATGTGGGCTTCCCTGCTGCAGGGGCGACAGGCTCTCGCGACGCCTGGGGTGCGTGGGGCTGCGTGTGGGGCATCAGGAGGCGTGGTCATGGTGCTTTCCATGGACTACAGGGGCGCATGCGCCGCCGCGTCGGTAGAGGGATGCGCCCGCCTGGTGGGCGCCGCGTTGGAAGTTGGAAGGCGGCCCCGTGCGTTTCGTCGCCGCGCGCTTGCCGCCGGACAGGAGGCGCGAGACTCTGCTCGAGCTGTAGGCCGACCCCCTCCCGCTGATTCCGCCCCCGCCTATTGGGCTGGCGACGTCAGCGCGCGCGTGGATTCCCCGCGGCCCGGCGACGAGGAGGCCGACGACATGCTGGCAAGCAGACGACAGATGTCCATTAACATTGAAGACCCTTCCAGGATCAGCGGAGAGGGTGAGTCACGCATCGACTCGGTGGCCGCGCCTGCCGCGCAAGCCGACGAGTGCGAGCCGTGGAAACGACGGCGGCCCCGTCTGTCGGATCGCGCTTATTCCCTTTTGAATCCACGCAGTGCGCCGCCCAAGACAGGCCCCGCAGTTCTCGCGCCTTGTGACGTCGAGGCCCTTCCAGGGGAGGCTGTGCAGGCCTTGCGGAGGCGTTTCATGGGCTGGAACTTCGTTTCCACATCCCAAATATTGACCTTTCAAGGGCTGCGCAGCGCGTCGCGTGGGCCCGTCCTGCAGGCCCCGGAGGGGTACCGCATGCCGATTCAGACCCAGGTCGAGCCCTCGGGGATGCCGGCGACGGGAGCGGAG